GTCCGACTGCTAACCTCAGGGTCAGCAGTTCGAAACTACCAGCTGTTCTGAGGCTTTCTGCTCCTGTAAAGATTTATAGCCTCGGAAACCATGTACAGAGTTGGAGCCAACTCCACGGCACATCACCAACCAACCAACCTTTATAGTAATTCGAATATAGTTTTCAATATATTTTTTGCTTTACGCTCAGGATCCTTTTTTTTTTTTTCTAAAAAGACTTTATTTAGAAAGTAATATCTTGTAAACAAATTGTACCACTTTGATTTTCTCTGAATATGAGATTCATGAAGCCAGGCTGAGGTCACGCTTGAGGACTGTGCTTCGGGGTTTTATACAGAACATCCGTGAACCATACGTGATTAATAAAGCTTTCCTGGAAGGCAGAGGCTGGTAGAGACGTTCTGTAATCTTCTGCCCCACACAGTATAAATGGTCTTGTTTCTGAGAGTTCCCCCGCCCGCGCCAGTTATTTTGGGTTTTTCAAACTTTTTAATGTGATTTGGGTGAAAGTTTATGGAGAAAATTGGTTTTCCATTCAATAATCCATACACTTTTTTTTCAAATCATTATTGCAACATCCCTTCTCCCACTTCCTCCCTATGTTTTTTTGTTTCCATTCTATTTCTTTCCTAACCCTTCTTGCCTTCTGAGCATTGTCCTTGGATACACGATACTCCCTTCCCCTTTTAAAAAAAAATTGTTAACTGTGTGAAGGTTTACAAAGATCATCAGTTTTACATTCAACAAATCATGTACTTGGTTTCATCTCAATGACTGCCGACACCTCCATGTACCAACAGTGATCCCACTTCCTCCCTGTGCCTTCTGTTTCCATTCCACTCTCCTTCCCAGCCCTTCTCAACTTTGTCCTTAGGTAATGGTGCCCTTATGATGCTGACCTTACTAGCATTGTTGTCCCCTCTCTCTCTATACCTGTCTACTGCTTGACTGAGAATTGGGCCTTGAGGGGGAGTTCTTTTCTAGACCTGAAGTTTGGTCCAGGGCCATAGTCTTGGGATCTCCTGTCTTCTTCTGACCCAGTAAGTCTGGTCTTTTGTTGTTGTTGTTTTTAAAGTAATTTCTGAGCTTTGACCCACATTTCATGATGCCCTTTTGATCTCAGATGATTACCCTAAGGAGTTGGAACCTCCCTAGTGTGATTGTTCACCTCATGGGCCTGTCTACTGTTCAGGAATGAGTTCAGTTCCAGGCATGAAGGGTGACTAAGGGCAACAGCTGCAGGGATTCCAGCAGTCTCGATCCAATGAGTACGCTTGTTTCTGAGTTTTGTTCCACCTTTTGTTCCTACTCTATCCAGGGCTTTCTAATGTGATCCCTTTCAGATCAGTTGGTAGTGGTAGCCACGTACCCTCTAGTTCTTCTGGTCTCAGGGTCATGGAGGCTAGTTGTCCACTGGAGGCTAGTGTTTGTGTGGTTTGTCTGTCTGCTGGATTAATTGTTTCCAGGAGTCTGGTTTTCTGAAGTTCTCTGGACTCTGGATAGAGAGAGATCAACAGTTACACCTTAGAAGTTTGCTCACAAGCTTTTAAGATCCCAGTTGCTACTCACCAAAGAAGGACGTAGAACACTGTCTCGGTGAACTGTAATGGAATTGGCACCTCTTTCAAATCGAGGATTTCCCTGGTTCGTTGGCTGGTTCTGGCCTGTGTACTCAGCTTCTATGTACACAATCCCCTGTGAACTGTCTGTGGATGAGGCTTTTCCTGCAGTCAGCCCCCAGGAAGAGGGCCAGGGTTTACTTCCTAGTGAGGAGATGTGATATTTGACTTCTGGACTGTGGACTCGCTCCTGTCTTCTCCTGAGGACTGTCACCCTCCAGAGGCGTTTTGCTGTGTCTGGCCCAGTTCTTCTGCCTGAGTCAAGGGTTCTGCTGCCTAATGCTCAGGAAAAGCTGAGTAAAGGATGAAGGCGAGGACAGGGCCTAACTAACTCATGCCCACCTACTCAGCTGCTCTCTTCTCCCAGAACTCCTCTCTCACACTTGTTCAGGGCTGTGGCATTTCTTGGCAAACTAGTTATTGGGAAAACCAATCGTCTTCCAGAAATTCTTTGCACCATTTGATTGTCCAATGAGAACTGTTTTTGTTTTCTTGTTATGCATTTATTCTTTTGAAAAAAAAAAAAAAAGCTGTTATTTTTATTCTTTGGAATTGAAGTTGAGAAACAGAAACTAGGGCTCAGTCTGTGCTGTGCCCCAACTGACCCCATTTGCTATTGTTGTTAGGTACCTTGGAGTTGGTTCCAGCTCATAGTGACCCTATGTACAACAGAATGAAACACTGCCCGGTCCTTCACCAACCTCACAATTGTTGTTATGCTTGAACCCATTGCTGCTGCCACTGTGCCAATCTGTTTCTTTGGAGGGTCTTCCTTTTCTTCACTGACCCTCCACTTTGCCAAACATGATGTCTTCAGAGTCTTCCCTTTGTCTCCTCATCCTTCACCACATCCATTTCTGACCTAGGCTGTTGGTACTGGCCTACCCAGTCTGTGTTTTGTTTTGAGGGAAGATTTTAGAATGTAAATAGCCCAGCTGTCCCAACTGGTTTTTCCTGTGTATTCCAGTAGTAAGCTGCCAGTAGCCAAAGATAAAGCCAAGAGAAATTGTTTGTAAAGTCTACAGAGGGCTCTTCCTGCAGACCAAGGACTTACTCCTGCCTGGGAGGTAGGTGGGAGTCTTGGGTGATACAGAAGGTTAATGCACTTGGTTGCTAACTGCAAGGTTGGAATTCGAGTCCACCCAGAAAACAAAAATCCTCACCACTGGACCAATAAACAACATTCTTATCAACAGAGAAAAGATTGAAGTTGTCAAGGACTTCATTCTCTTGGATCAACTATCAACACTCACGGAAGCAGTAGTCAAGAAATCAAAGGATGTACTGCATTAAGCAAATCTGCTACAGAAGACCTTTTTAAAGTGTTGAAGAGCAAATATGTCAGCTTGAGGACTAAGGTGCGCCTGACCCAAGCCATGGTATTTTCAATAACCTCATGTGGATGCGAAAGCTGGACAGTGAATAAAGAAGATCGTAGAAGAATTGATGCCTTTGAGTTGTGGTGTTGGAGGAGAATATCGAAAGTGCCATGGACTTCCAAAAGAACCAATAGATCTCTTTTGGAAGAAGTGCAGCCACAGTGCTCCTTGGAGGCCAAGACGGCTAAACTTCGTCTCTCATACTTTGGACATGTTGTCGGGAGGGAATAGTTGTTGGAGAAGGATGTCATGCTGGGTAAGATGGAGGGTCAGAGAAAAAGAGGAAGACCCCCAACAAGATGGATCAGCCAGGTGGCATCATTGATGGTGTCAAGTGGGGCAGCGGTAGTGACGTTGGCCCAGGACCGGACATTGTTTCATTCTGCTGTGTATGGGGTCGCTATGAGTCGGTTCCGACTCGATGGCATCTGACAACAACAACAACAACAGAGGTGTTTTGGAAGAAAGTCCTGGTAATCTATTTCCGAAAACTCAGCCATTGAAATCCCTGTGGAGCACAGTCTACTCCAACACACAGAGTCATCCTGGCTTAGGGTTGCTGAGACAGAAACTGGTTTGATGTTTTTGGTTTGGGAGACAAGTGCTTGCAGCTTGCAAACCCGCCCACATGCTTCATAATCAACAGACACTTATTGGGCACCTGTGGAATGCAAGGCCTTGTTCTTGGTACTGAGGGAGAGCCCAAAAGCATGAGTCTGAGCTGAGTCACAGTATAACCACAAGCTAAGTTATGTCCACACAAGCCTTTGCCTCCACCGCACAATGAGACAGTCCCCGAGAAGGGCGCTGTCCTAGAGTCCATGTGGGTAGCTTTACAGAACAGAGATGTGTTGCCTCACAGTTCAGGAGGCTAGAAGTTCACATTCAGGGCCTGGCTGTAGGGGAAGGACCTCTCTGCTGGCTCTGGGAGGAGACCCGTGTCTCCCAGTGTTCCGGTTCTTTGGTGATCTTCATGTGACATCTGTCTTCCCCCCATTTGTGTTTGTTTGTCTCTATCTATACAAGGGGCTTCAAAAAAGTGAAAAAACAGAATGAAAATTTCCCACAAACATTTTGAAACCCCTTCATACTAAACCAGAAATGGTTAAATTTATAGTAAACTTTACACTGATAGGACCTCACTAACATAAAAAGAGAACCCTGTTTCCAAAGGTAAAAAACCAAACATCTCATTGCCATTGAATCAGTTCTGACTCACTGTGATCCTTTATAGCGTTTCCGACACTATAAATCTTAACAGAATCAGAAAGCCTAAGCTTTCTGATTCAGGAAAAACTGAAGACCTTGTGGTTTGCAGTCCAGTGTCTACCCTACAGCACCACTTAGGAGATCACCATGTATTTTACAAAGAGGGCACATTTCAGCCTGTAACAGACTCAGATGGAGGGTTCACAGGATTGGGAGATCGAGCGAGAGAGAGTGGGGATGGCTTCACAAAGGAGGGGGCCCTCGAGCTGTTGGCGGGATGTGAACGCACAGAGACAAGGGAGATGTTGATCCAGGTGGCTGGCACAATGTAGACAAAGGCCTGGTGAGGAGGGCCTGCGGGAGACCTGGAACAGCAAGCAGGCGACTATAGAAAAGCTTGAAGCCCTCATGGCAGCTGTGGCTCCCATTTCATGTTCAAACTCCACTCCACGCTTCAGAACGTGTTAGCGCCTTTTTTGTTGTTGTTGTTACAAAGTCCCTCGGGGCTTTGTAAATAAATCTTCAGTGAAGCTGTCTCAGGTTGTATTTGGTGCTGTTGCTGTAGGAAGAATTGATGAACAGCAGCTTTGGAATGGCACAGTGCTGTTAGGTGCACATCCAACGGCCCTGTCTGCCTGAGGTGTCCCCGAGGCCTGAGGTCCTGAGCGTGGACCCTAGGAACTCGCAGCCTTGTTTCTCCTTCCTCTTGTTTCTGGCCCTAGTCCTTGGAATTGTTCTGTGTGCCTTCCTGAGGGTCTGAGTCACTGATGGGCTCCCATGTCTTCCTTTGCAGGTGACTACACGGACTTCTACTCCTCTCGGCAGCATGCTACAAACGTTGGCATCATGTTCAGGGGCAAGGAGAATGCCTTGATGCCTAACTGGTTTGTATTGATTAGATGCCTGGATACACTCAAAGTCTGCCTTTCTGTCCCCAGCAGCATGTTTGTTCCCAGGGACTGTCAAATCCCTCTTGGGCTAAAATAATCCAAAAAAAACCCCACAAACGCACTGCCATCCAGTCAATTCCAACTCAAGGTGATCCTACACAGGGTTTCCAAGACTGCATATCTTTATGGGAGCAGGAAACCTCCTCTTTCTCCTTTGGAGGGACTAGTGGATCGAGCTGCCTAACTCACAGTGCCACCAGGGCTAAAGTAAACAGGAGAGGACAGGGAGTAATGGTTATACAGTTGCAACGTCTGGGAATGAAGTAGAAGCCAGCCTTGACTTTGGTCTCGACTCAGCTCTGGGCACGCTGTGTGATGGTCGCAAAGTTCCTTAACCTCTCTGAGCTGCAGCTACTTCATCTAGAGAACAGGGATTGAAAATAAAACCCTCTGAGTCACTAAGATCCTTCCATATGACTGTTTTATTAAAACCAATACTGCCCTCGACTCAGTTCTTACTCATAGCAAGCAGCCCCTGTAAAGGGTTTCCGAAACTGTGAATCTTGACAGGAACAGTCTCATCTTCTTCTGAGGAGCGGCTGGTAGGTTTCAACTGCTGACCTTGCTATAAGCAGCCCAACGCCTATCCCATAACACCTCGAGCATTAAACCCTAGCGTTCTCTGTGCTTAGAACGTTCTGGTGAATGCGAATCCTCATATGAGTCCAGTGGTTCAGATTTCTCACAATGTGCTCAGTCAGATACACTGATTGTTTGAATTCGCATCCAAGTCTATGATGGTGAGGCCCATTTTAGAGAAGAGAAAACAGGTTCAGAGAAGGGTTCAACTTGTCTGAGAAAAAACATGGCCAAGGACTGGCTCCTAATTCCCAGGTCAGGCCTGTGGCCCCAGATAGGCTGTGGGTAACTTGAAGCAAACACAATGAAGGAAGAGGGTATATATAGAGAAGGTTATGACCCAGGGAAATTAAGCAACAGATCTCGGTTACGGATCAGATAAGAGTGAATCTGGAGGAGAACCCAGTCTCTAGACCTGCACCTGAGCTGAGCAAATATTAGACTTTGCCCCTGTGCAGGCTCTAGGCTGTGGTCACTCCCTGCCAGCCACCAGCCTGCCTGTCTCCTGGCTGTGGAGGTGGTGGCCCAGTGAGAACACTTTGGAATACTGGTCCCATGGATATAGGTATCAAGTGACCAAAGGACAGGGGGCAGGAGGCAGTGAGAAAAGAGGCCAGGAAATGTATTAACTATGTCTGAAACCAGGTGGGAAATTCTTAGACATTCCTACCCTATTTCCTTCAGTTGAATGAGTGCTTGTTGAATTTGAGGTGGCCATGGTGGACTCTTTTGACTTTATGACTTTATGTACATTTTTGTTGTTGTTAAGAGCCATTGAGTCACTTCTGACTCATAATGACCCTGTATAGGGTTTTTGAGGAGTGGCTGGTGAGTTTGAACCACCAACCTTGCAATTCAAACCAACTTTGAGGTCGAGTGCTTTATCCTATTGTGCCCCACCAGTACAACTTATATATATAACTTGTATAATAAAGATAATATATACTTTTTGTAGTTAATCCAAACCTTACAGAAAGTAGATAAAGTCAAATATTTAAAATGTAAAATGAACATTCCTCTTGATGCTCAGTCTCACTTTTGCGTCTGCCCTAGAGGAATAAAAGGACCTTGTATCCGTATTCAAGGATGAGGATGGTCACTGTGGCAGTATTTCTAGCTGTCCAAAGTCAGAAGTGATTTGAATGCTCATGGGTCTATTTCCAGTAGTCAAGGAGCCCTGGTCACGTAGTGGATTACGAGCTGGGCTGCTAAACAGACTCAGTTCAAAACGACCGCTCACTCCATGGGAGAAAAATGAGGCTTTCTGTTCCTGTAAAGATTTACAATCTTGGAAACTCTACATAGCATCTCTGTAAGTTGGAACTGACTCGGTGGTACTTAACAACAACAACAGTGCATGAAAAGAGAGTCCTGGTAGCACAGTGATTAAGCGCTCGGCTGCTAAAGGAAACATTGGTGGTTTGAATCCACTGGAGGCTTCTCAGGGGACTAGTCCTAGTGATCTGCTCCCAGAAAGACTGTTATTGTAAAGATTACAGCTTTGGAAACCCCATGAAGCAGTTCTACTCTGCCCTCTCGGGTCACTTGAGTCTGAATGGACTCAACAGCACACAATAACAATACAAAAAAAAAACACATACACACGATAAAATGCTGTTGATATAACAAGATGCAAAATAATTCACACAATTGTACACGTATATAGGATACGGGGAATGAGGGACACCAAAGGGACGTCAGAGGTGGTTCCCTCTTCAGGGACGGGGACACAAACAAAGGGAGAGAAGGAGAGGAAAGATCAGGTAGGGATACAAAGAGGGCATGTACCTACATTTTGCAGCATTTTATTTCTTGTGGGTTGTTGTTGCTGTTAAATGCATTGAATCAGTTCCAACTCACAGAGATCCTGTATAGGGTTTCCAAGGAGTGGCTGGTGGGTTTGAATGGCTGACCTTGCAGCTAGCAGTCCAGTGCTCATCCTATATAGCATCATACTAGGATTCCGAATTCATGGTTGTTGTTAAGTTGGGTTAGTTCTGCCTCCTAGCGACTCTGTATAGAGTTTCCGAGGAGCAGCTGGTGAGCTTCAACTACCAACCTCGTGGTTCAAACTGACCTTGCAGTCCAGTACATTAACCCTCAGGACTACAAATTCATGGGTAGGACATAATTATTTTGTGTTATAACATATTTTTGTATATCATGATAGTGGTTGTGGTGGTTAATTTGCCACCAAGTCTGTTCCGACTCATAGCGACCCTGTATAGAGTTTATGAGGCTATAAATCTTTACGGGAGCAGAAAAGTCTCATCTTCCTTCTATGGAGTAACAGGTAGATTTGAACTACTGACCTTGCAGTTAGAAGCTCTGCTCATTATCCACTAAGCTACCAGGGATCCTTTCTATATATCATACAGGTTAGGTACCATCAAGTTGGTACCGACTTATAGCGACCTTATGCACAGCAGAACGAAAACACTGCCCCATCCTGGGCCAACCTCACTATTGTTATACATACTATAAAATAAAATTTCAACATTTATGAATTTAAAAGCAACGCAAATGGGTCAGACATGCATATGGTTCAACATTCAATAGGTCCATCAGGGTAAACAGTAGGAAAAAGTAAGACCCTCCCACTCAGTCTCTTACCGTCCAGGCCTTTCTGAAAAAGCACATTTTTAGCAATGTTTTTATGTATTTGAGATATTACAAAACTTCTGCCAATTTTCCTATTCACCTGTTTATTTCTCATAAATTTGAAGGAGTGTTTTTGTATAATAGAAATGGACTCTTTGTTGGCATGTGTTGCACGTCATTTTCTCTCAGTGTGTTTCTGTCTTCTTACTTCACTTGCTGACTTTCTGACGCTGACGTTTTACATTTTTCTATAGCCAGGCATGCCAATCATTCTTCTATGGCATTTACCTTTCTGTCAAGTATAGACAGGCTTCCTCCATTCTGAGAATTGGAAAATATGGTCCTTTTGCTTTTTTTTTTTTTGAAAAAAAAAAAAGCCTTACTTTGTACATTGAGGTCATTAACCCATATGGAATTTTCTCTTATGCGTCATGGGTCTCTGTTAGTTTCCTGGGCCTATTGTAACAAATTGCCACATACTGGGTAGCTTACAGCAGCAGAAATGTATTCTGTCATAGTTCTAGAACTCACGGGTTTAAAATCAGGGTGTCGGCGGCCACCCCTCTGTAGGCTCCAGAGGACAGTTTTTTCCTTGATTCTTCCAGTTTCTGTAGGCTGCAATCATTCCTTGACTTGCGGCCATATCTTAACAACTATAATCTCCGCCTCTGTCCTCATATAGTCTTCTTTGTGTCCTTTCCTGTTCTATCTCTGGGATGGTGCTGTAGGATACAAGGATAAGCAGTGGATTATGAACCACAAGGTTGGTGGTTGAGACCTACCAGGTGCTCCCCAGAAACCCTATATAGGGTCACTATGAGTCGGAACCAACTCAACAGCATTTAGCAACAACATCTTCTGTAAGGACAGTTGTCATTGGATTTGGGGCCCACCTGGATGATCTCATCTCAAGAGTATTAATTACACCTGCAAAGACCCTTTTCTCAAATAAAGTCACATTCACATTTCCAGGGATTTAGAATGTGGACATACCTTTATTTTTCTTGGTCACTATTGAATCCATTCCTGGAAAGTTTGAGTCCACCCAGGGGCCCCTTGGAAGAAAGTCCTGGCAACCTACATCCAAAATAATCAGCTGTTTTAAACCCATAGAGCACAGTTCTACTCTGACACACATAGAGGCTTCATGAGTCAGTACTGACTGTCGGCAACTGGTTTTAATTGAACCCACTACAGGGTCTAACACATTCTATTGTCTCAGCAACATTCTCCAGTTTTTATTTATTATGCGCTAGGTTTTCTGACCCCTGATGCCCCAGATCATTCCGCTGGTCTCTTTTTGTCAGTACCACACTATTTTTTAAAAAAAATGTTTTATTGTGAATTATGTGATAGTTTACATGGGGGAACATTAGTTTTACCATTCATCCTATCGTATATTGTTACATCCATGGTTACGATCCCCTCCATGCATCATCAACCAACCAAAGGGTATATACCACAAGCCTGCCCCCTGGTCCTCAGCACATAGCCCCTCTCCTACTCTGGGTTTAAATACCCCAGCTGCTCCATCTCTCCAAGTCATCTTCTGTGCCTCAGTACCACACTATTTTAAATACCTTTAAAATGAATTTTAATATTGGAAAGTGCAAACTGTACTAGTTTTCCTCTTTCATTTCCTCACCCAGATCTCTGTCTGAGGAACACAGCTCTTGACCGTTTTCCCGTTGTCCTGGATGACTCTTCTTTGAGCATTACTGACTCGTCCCAGGGTCCCAATGTATTAGGTGGGCAGCTGGCTACAGTGCAAGCCCAGAACTTTGTGGTCAGATGACCTGAGTTTGAATTCCAGCTCCAACACGTCCCAGCTGTGTGACCCAGGCAGGCCACCTAAGCTCCCCGAGCCCAGTTTGCTCACTGATGGCTAATGAGACTTGGAGAGCAGGGCTTTTTATAAAGATCACGTTAAAAGGGAAACAAAATGAAAAGCACTTTGTGTGGTTCCTGGGGCAGAGTCAGTGCCGAATAAGTGGTAATCGTGGCTGCCCCCTGCTCTTGGTGGAAACTTGTCAGCACCTTGTTGGTTCTGAGACAAAGGCAGGAGAAAGGCTTAAACTTTGACTCCCGTTTGTTATTGTTGGTGTGTGTGCAGTTGGTTCCCTCTCCCAGTGGCCCTGTATAGTGTTTCCAAGGCTGTAAATCTCCATGGGCGCAGAAAGCCTCAGCTTTCTCCCAGTGAGCACCTGGTGCACTCCCATTGCTGACCTTGTGGTTAGCAGCCCAGTGCGTACCCCACTAGGCTCCCAGGGCGGGTTTACCCTACGTAGCTTTTGCTTTGTGAACCATATCTATGGGTCATCTCTTCTCGTTTTTAATTTTTTAATTGGCTCTTCCATCTGTGACAGCATTAACGCCCTGCCTCCTGCTTTTCCCTTTCCCAGGTTGCACCTACCCGTGGGTTACCATGGTCGCGCCTCCTCTGTCGTGGTGTCTGGCACCCCGATCCGAAGGCCCAGGGGACAGATGAGGCCTGATGATTGTAAGTCCCCCCAAGATCCAGATTTTCTGGGTGTCCAGCGCTCTGTGTCCCTGCAGTGACTCCTTAGCCGGGCACTCTGAGCAGCCTCCGTTTCTACTGTTCTTCTAGCTCAGCCTCCTGTGTATGGTGCCTGCAAGCTCTTGGACATAGAATTGGAAATGGTAAGCTCTGCTTGCTATGAAAGCGCTGTCAGTAGAGCGCTGTGCTTTGAATGAGTTGTCCCCCCACCCTCAGAAAACTAATGGTGGCTCTGGGTGTCCCAGGAGACCTAGTGGCACACTGAGTTAAGTGTTGGGCTACTAACCCCCAAAAGTCAGTGGTTCGAACCCACCAGCTGCTCTGTGGAAGAAAGATGTGGCAGTCTGTCCCATGAAGCATGACAACTTGGGCAGCCCTAGGGGACAGTTCTGCTCTGTCCTATAGTCAGGAAGGCTCCGCGGCGGTGAGTTTGGTTAATCTTTCTTGGTTTCCCTGCCTGGTCATGGGATTTTCAGGTCCTCCTGCACTTCTGCCTGAGCACACACAGTCTGAGGACTGTGGCTGCAACACGGCTGCAGGTTTTAAAATTTTAGACAATTGTAGACTCTTGTGCAATTGTAAGAAATAATGCAGGTAACACTAGTGAGGTATGCCCACCTTAGAATAATGGACCATTTGAGATTAAAAGGGCAGCAGTTACCCAAGAACAAAGTTCAGAAAGGTTAGGAAAGAAGGAGGGATGGAAACACTGGGAAGAAACTGGATACGTGGTGTTCTGTAGAGGGGGGGTTGCAGTCACTGAGATGAAATGAAAGGTGGATGGATTATTGAATGCAAAACTGACATCTGCTTGGCCAACCTTCCTAATTCACACTAAAAAGCTAAAAGGAAGGAAAGAAAGAATACAGAGAGATCCCAGTGGCCACACCCTGCCGAAACGTAGTACAGGGTCGCCACCAGGATATGATGTGGATCGGGTGAGTCCCACCAGAACAGTTCCATCACCCTAAAGATCGCCATGTAGCACGGCTGCACGTTTTCAAGGACAATGAAATTTGGGCGTCCTGGTGTGGTGCTGTGGGTTAAAGCACCAGACTGTAAAGCCGTTTGAACTGCAAGGCCGGCAGTTCAAGCTCACCAGCCGCTCCTCAGAAACCCTATACAGGGTCGCTATGGGTCAGAACCGACTCGACGGCACTTCACAACAACAACAACAAACTGAGGGGAGCCGGAGAATAATGGGAAGGACAAAGCGAAACTGGAGGAAGGAGAACTTGGAAGCAGAAGCAGTATCTTCAGGGTGCTGCCAGGATGTGGGGTGACCGGTGGCAGATGGAGAGGATGAGATTTCCCAAACCATAGTCAGCACCCACAGTTTAAGGCACTGCCTTTGGAAGCTAGTGAATGTCTCCTCACTTACTGCAGGTATAGGAAAAGTGGCTGGCGGTCACCCAGTAAGTTGGGTGTTAGCAGTGGGAATCCCGGGTTGAGCTGGAGACTCAGTCTGCTTTGTTGGAATTGCATCTTCTCTGTTGGTCCTGTTGGGGTTGGGGGTGGAGAAAAGGCAAGGAATCAGTGTGAAGAACAGCTGTGGGGGTGGAAATAGGGGGCAGTGGGCAGGAAGCACCGAGTATCTGGACTTGATGGGGGTGGGGTTTGCCTCCCAGTGGTGCCCTTGGGTGTTTTTGTTTGTATCTTGTTGGAATCTGTTTAAACTCAAGTCACAGAGCAAATCAAACTGACTCAGGTTTTGTTTGTTTGTTTTTTTCAACTTTTTATTGTGAATGGAGTGAACATTTACAGAGAAGATCATCATCAGTTCTACATTCAACAAATCATAGACTTTGCTTGACTGCATGGTTGTAATCCCACCCATGTACCAACAGTTAACAGTATTAACCTCTATTCACTTTGTCTATTGCATTCCTCCCTGTGTCTCCTGCTAGCTTCATCTTTCCTCTGCCAACCCCCCTCCTATTGTATATTGCCTGCCCTGTCACCCATGTTAACACGTGTCTACCCTCTAGGCCGTGAATAATTTCCCCTCGCCATCCCTCCCCTGTAACCATCATAGACTGATTCTCTCATCAAGAAAAACTTTTTTAACTTTCACAACATTGGTCTCATGTAACATGTGTCCTTTTGTGATTGACTAATTTCACTCAGCATAACGTCCTCCAGGTTCAACCATGTTGTGAGGGGTTTCACAGATTCATCATTATTCTTCAACGTTTTATAATATTCCATTGTGTGTATGTAGCAAAGTTTGTTTAACCTTTCTTCTGTTGGTGAGCATTTGGGCTGTCTCCATCTTTCTCATGTGTCTCTTGTAGAGAGCATATTGAAGAATCCTGCTTTCTTATCCATTCTGCTCTCTGTCTCTCCTCCACCCCCGGCCCCTTGCCGGCTCATTCTGCACATAAGCACACTCATGAAAGTTGTAAGCTAGTCACTTCATACCTTTGTAGCCTCCCAGTTTTTGATAGTCAATGTCTAAATTTCTCATCCCTGTAACCCAGTACACTGAGGAAACAAGGTTGCTCCTTGATATGAACTGACTCAGGTTTACAGATCTCATAGCTGGGCAGGTGTGTTTTTGACATCTGTGTCCCTTTCCCAGTTTCTGCCCCCAGTGAGGGCTGGTATTCTGTTGGTTCATGGGCACTATGTTGGGGTGATGGGAGGAGAGGTTGGGATACCGCCCCTTTCTGGCTGTTGGCTGCCTTTGATGGTTCGTGATGTGAAGACAAGTCAGGGCATTTTCAGTTTTTAGAACCTCATGTAACCTGTCAAATCTTATAATGTAAAGTGCCTATGGGCTGAAGGGAGGAGGGACAGAATGTTCTGGAAAGCTGCCTGTGGGATTTGGGGTCATAGAAGGAGGACCTTCAGTGACCTTGTGACGGCGCATGTGTAGTTTCTGAGTTAGAGGTGACCATAGTGGGTTCATAGTCTACCTGGCCCTGGGTAGCAGGCCTGGCCCCTCCTTGACTGTGGTGTACATGTGTCAGATTTTTACCCTCCAGGTAATGAGTGACCTGGGGACACAGGCCAACCAAATTCGAATCCACTTTCCCTTGGCAGGCTTTCTTTGTAGGCCCTGGGAACAAATTCGGGGAGCCGATTCCTATTTCCAAGGCCCATGAGCACATATTTGGGATGGTCCTCATGAACGACTGGAGTGGTAAGGATGGGGTTTGGGGATCTGGACGCTGAGTCTCTGTGTGTGCAGTACTCTCTGGCTGGCTATGTGGGACATGAATGGTTTCCTGCGTCAAGTGCTGTTCTAAGGTGGCAGACAGCACAGTGCTGAGAGTGTGGGCTTGCAGATGGAACCAACCCGGCTCTGATGCATGGGCCAGTTACTTCCTTTCCCTGAGCTCTGGTTTTCACATAAGTGCAATAGGGACACAGCTGGCACCTTGGTTAATATGTACCAGGCACTTAGTATATACTAAAGGAGTCCTGGTGGTGCTGTGGGTTAGGCATTGGGCTGCTAACTCCAATGTTGGCGGTTCAAACCACTAGCCAGTCCTCAGGAGGAACAGGAGGCTGCCTGTTTCTGTCAAGGTTTAGTCTCAGAAACTCTCTGTGAGGTCTTTATGAGTCAGAATCCACTCATCGGCAGTGGGTTTGGTTTTGGTATTATATACCAAGGTGCCCTGGTGGTGCAGTGGTCAAGCGCTCAGCCAAAAGTTTGGTAGTTTGGACTCGCCAGCTGCTTTTCTGGAGAAAGGTGTGGCAATCAGCTTCCATAGAGATCACAGCTTTGGGAACCACATGGGCGGTTCTACTGAGTCCTGGTGTGACGCTGTGCGTTCATGCGCTAGACTACAAGGTCAGTTTGAATTGCAAGATCAGTGGTTCAAGCTCACCAGCCACTCCTCAGAAACCATATGCTGGGTCACTGTGAGTCGGAATCAACTCAATGGCAACTGAGCTCCTCGTGTGGGATATCCCATTGAATCCCTATAGGATATTGGCAATATTTTTAATCCACATTTTACAGATGAGGAACTGGAGGCAGACAAAGATTTTAATTGCTGAGCTAAGATTTGAAGCTAAGCAGCCCAGTCCCTGGACCTGAGCTGTTAGAAGGGTTTGGCTCTGTGAACCCAGAAAGTGTGTGGTTGGAGGATGAGTTTCCAGCCCCTTCACAGGGGATATGCCCACAGCCCTGGGCTGGGTATCCCCTATGTCTTTGCTGTAATCTGGCTCAGTGACCTCAGAGGATTTCTGCCCTTGGCACCATGTTGTTGCCCTATAGTCCAGGGGCAGCCTGTGTAGGGCTCTGTTGCTCTTCCTGGGACAAGGCCTGTCGGCCTGTGTGAACATAGAGTCTGCCCTCCTCCTGCAGCTCGAGACATTCAGAAATGGGAGTACGTGCCTCTTGGGCCATTCCTCGGGAAGAGTTTTGGAACCACCATCTCTCCGTGGGTGGTGCCCATGGACGCTCTTATGCCCTTTGCCGTGCCTAACCCAGTGCAGGTAAGCACACCGTCTGCACTCTCCCTGCCCCCTGTACAGTGTTTGGGGAAAACATAGACTTTTGTAAGCTTCGGAGCCCTCTGAGGCCAGGGGACTCTGGTGTGATGGCCGAAGAAGGGATCCTGGCCAGAACCACCATGCTGCATGTCCATCCCGTCACCATCAAATTGTGCTGTGTGAATGGCGCCCTCTGGAGTCCAACTTTTAGAATGCGGTTTGGAATCGTGTTCCGGCCTCTCTGTGGAAGCCAGGACTCACAATTTCACTCTTCACTCCCAGCCTGTTATCACCTCACCAGCAAAGTCCCCTGGGACCACCTAATCACCAGTGCCCTGGCTTATGTCCCCCTTTATTTAGCATGGACCTCCTTGCAGCCTTCCACTCCCTCTAGTCACTCTCCCTCCTTGGCGTCTGGCTCCTGACTTGTCCCGGCTCTCCCATGACTCCTACAGTCCTTGGATGCTCCTGTCCAGCTCTGGGGCACTCCAGGCTGCGCTGTCCCCATCTGCCATGCTCCACTGACTAACGCCACCTTTCACCTGAGTGCATCTTGCCTGTCCTGCCAGCCCACCTGCCTGCATGCCTCTGTATCTCTGAGCCTTGGTATTGCTCCTGTTTGCTGTGCTGAAGAGAAACTTGGAATCCTTTCCCCAAACTAAGCTCCTTGTGAGAGTCCTGGGAGCTGCATTTTGGTCTCTTTGGTCTCTTCTCGATGGCTCCTGCCACAACCCTCCCCCAACACTTTCAGTCACTAGAACTTTCTCTTGCTTCCTATCGGTGGGTCCTGGGCTCCTGCTTCTCTGACAGTCAGCCGTCTGGCCCTCACTGAAGATCTCCTGGCCCCTGCAGCCGCCGCCTGCTTGCTTCAGCCCCTCTCATGCTCACCCTTCTCCTTCAGGTCTGCCAGCCTAGGGCATCATGTAATCCTTGCTGGGCCCCATCTGACTTTCCACCAGACGTTCCGTTCCCAAGTACCTGTCACTATACCCAATCTTCACCATTTTAGCCACTTCTCAACTATTACCTGGAGTCCCGGTATGGTGCCATAGGATAAACACTCCATCTCAAGGTCGATTTGAGCTGCAAAGTTGGTGGTTCGAACTCACCAGCCACTTCCTGGAAACCCTATACAGGGTCACTATGAATCAGAAATGACTCGAAGGCACTTATCAACAACAACAACTATTACTTATTAATGTTTCCCTTTTAAATAACTCTCATTTTAAAACTTCAATAACATATTTTTAAGAAGAAATTTTATAGCCCTCAGGGTATTACTAGCCACAATATTAAAATGATCATTTAAAGAAACAGTTGTTGTTGTTGTTAGGTGCCATCGAGTCAGTACCGACCCATAGCAACCTTATGCACAGCAGAACAAAATACTGCCCAGTCCTGGACCAACCTCACTACTGTTGCCACGCTTGAGTCCATCGATGCTGCCACTTGGCCAATCCATCTCTCTGGGGGTCTTCCTCTTTTTCTCTGACCCTCCACCTTACCAAACATGATATCCTTCTCCAGTGACTGGTCCATCCTGACAATATGTCCGAAGTATGAGAGACAAAGTTTGGCCATCTTGGCCTCTAAGGAAGTGACCCCCTGTGCCCACTGGTGGTTCATGGACCACACTGTGGGAAACACTGCGTTAGCAGAAGGGCAGACCTTCTCACCCGGCAGGTGAAGCTGCCCCTTCAGTGTGGTTCCAGACTAGAGGCAGGTCTTGCTGCCCCTGCTCTCTGCCTTCCAGAAAGTTCTGCCTGCACAGGCCTGGCCTCGTTTCCCAGCCCTGGCTCTCCCACCTCCCCTGGCTCTTCCCTCCCCTGGCTTTCTGGGGCATCTAGAATTTGGTCCCTGTGGCCTTTGACCTGTGGTTGCCCCTCCTTCAGTTTCTTTCTGGGAACCTGGCACATATGAGAGACTATAAAAAAAGTTCATGAAAAGTTTTCATTGTCTTTTAATTCCATTTTTCCATGAATTTTTTGAAGCTCCATCGTATATTACCCCTGCCCTCCCCCACCCCAATGACACAGTGCTGGTACCCTGGGTTCCTGTGCCTGGTGAATCCCTCCTGAGACCCCACTGGCCCTGCCCACCAGTGACCCTCTGTGCTATGCACTGCCTTCCCAGGACCCCAAGCCGCTGCCGTATCTCTGCCATGACCAGCCTTACACATTCGACATCAACCTCTCTGTGGCGCTGAAAGGTACAGTCGTGGGGCTGGACGGTGTGCCTGAGAATTCGGGGGCGTGTGTACCCAGTGCCATTGGCCTTCTGAGCTCCGGCTGACTGGGAGTATCTGCTGCACCCCGCCCCCGAAGACACGTGCGGCTCTTGCCAAAGAAAGGGGGTGGGAATGGACACCCTGGTGTTCTCAGGGAGCCACACGGCCCACAGGACGTTTGCCCGGTACACCGATCTCTCAGATCTCAGGGCTAGGCAGCGTAGAGTCTGTCCAGGCCCTCCAGTGTCCACTTGCTACTGCTCTGCAGTATCCAGACCTCTCACACACACCACACGGGGAACGGTGCCTATTGGGAAGCCCGTCCTTGAGACTTCTCTCTGGCCGCTCACAGATGGGACTATGTCCTGAGCCGCTTAGCCCCGCTCTATGGAATGTTAGTGAGAAAGGCCCCTTCCTCCCTAGATGTGGGGCTTTGGGTAGGTTACTGAACCTGCCCTGTGCCCAGTTGGTCATCTGTTATAAATGGGATCATCATAATGACGCTGGTCTGATGCATCAGTTGTGAGGATTGAACAAGTTACTTCTTGTAATGACCTGACAGAGCCTGTACCTACAAAGAGCAAGGTGTCTCTTTCCAGCCTCTAGGAAGCCATGGGGAGGGGTTTCAGGGTGGGCTTGCCTGTCAGCGGCTCACAGGCCCCCTGAGCTGCACGCTGGCCAAGTCTATCTTCTTTCTCCACCAGGTTCGCCACCCTCATGCCTCTCCGCTTGTGCCCACCTTTTTCTAGTAAGCACCTAGATCACTCTCCTCCTCTTGTCCTTTCTCCACACACCAGACTCTTCTGCGTCTTTTCTCTGGTGTGCCCTCCCCAAGAACTGCAAGTCGTCCCCATGTGGCAGCTGCACCTGGAAGGGAAGAATGGGTTGTTAGACAGCGGCATCCTAGCTGCCATAGTGCTCTCCGGGAAACTGCTCGTCCCATGTTTTCATGTTATAGATGGGGAAACTGAGGCATAGAGAGAGGAAAGGGGTTCCTCCAGAGCCACTTGGTTGGCTGTTGGCAAGACAGAGACTAAAACCAAGTGTCCTAGGTTCTAAGTTAGACTCCTTCCTCACTCCTGCCTCTTGGAGCCCATTCCTGTCTGATTTTCACGCTGTGTATTTCTTTCTGTCTACTGGAAACCAACAAGGAGCCCTGGTGACGTAGTAGGTTGAGTTGGGCTGCTAACTACAAGGTCAGCAGTTCAAATCTCCCACCACTTAGTGGGAGAAAGATGAGGCTTTCTGTTCTGAAAAAGATACACAACCTCGGAACTCTATATACGGTCTCTATGAGTCAAAACAGACTCCATGGCCCATAAACACCACCACGACCACCGGAAGCCAGCACATCCAGGGCACGCGCTGTCGGATGGGAGGAGATTATCAGGAGGGTGCCGTGTGCAGAGGGGTACAGAGACCTGGAGGAAAGTCCTGAGTCTGTAGTTCTGACCTTGTGAGTTGGTGTCTGGGTGAAGGAGTCTGGAGAGGAGCAGGATCAGGTCACCCTAGTGTAACTTGGGGGCCTCCAAGCGGAAGCCAGGCCTGAAGAGGAAGACAGATTTTGGCAGTGGAAGACCTGTCTAACTGTCAGTGTAGATCAAGAATGGCACCTACTACCTGTCTGGTACTGACTCTCATTTTAAAGCTTCAATAATGTATTTTGTCCATATGTGTTCAGTAGATAAAAGGGGGCTTCAAAAAGTCTGTGGAAAAATGGAATTAAAAGATAATCGAGTTTTTTCACAGACTTTGTAAAGCCCCCATATCGCTGAACTATATAGTTGGAGGGAGGAGGCTGGCAGGGTACAGATGGTCCAATTGGACCAGAAAGCTCGGGGTGGCAGATTATCCTCGGTTAAGGACTACAAATAGGTTTCAATTTGCACAGCTCCCCTCATTGATGAGTGGCTGCCAGGAGCTTGGTGTTAAGAAGGATTCTGAGGATACATCTAGATTCAGATGGAACAAGTGCCCTAGTCAGTGAATGATGTCTTCAGTGAGTGTGGGAGGGAAGATGTGGTGTGTGTGTGTGTGTGTGTGTTTAAGTTCTCCCTGGACTAGTTCGATAGATCATCTCTGTGGAAGCTTCTCAGCTCTTATTGTGCTTGCTTAGTTGAAGTAGCTAACTTTTCTAAGTACTAGATCCTGAACTCTAAGTGGAATTATGTTAGACAGCAGGGACACTGAGCAACTCACATTCCAAGGCTTTCGTTGGTTTGTTTCCCTCCCTGATACTGGAATGAAATCTCTTCATCAACGGCACTTCTCTTCAACAGGAGAAGGCATGAGTCGGGCAGCTACCATATGCAGGTCCAACTTTAAGGTAAGCTTTGAGGCTGGAACCAGCTTGGGAGTGATGAAAAGAGGAGGGACTCGAGGTCTGCACATGGACCTGGAGCATCCACGTCCTGGTGCTTTTCTAGAAGAGGCGGCACAGCTGAGACCAGTGAAGCTCTTGGAGGGACAGTGGATGTCTCTGTAGGCTGGATACTTGGCCTTTTCATAATGCTGAATGAAGCTGAGCACCTTCTCAAATGTCATTTGCACATCCCCTGAATCAATGCATTTTTATTTTCTTTAGTTTCCTTTCCTATTTAGCATTATTCAGAGGCTGGATTGATAAGAGTGAAATTTTAAAAGTAAACTTTTTTTTTTTTTTTTATTGTGGTAAAATATAAAGGGGGCTTCAGAAATTTTGTGGAAAAATGAAGTTAGAAAGATAATGACATTTTTCCATGGACTTTTTATTTTTTATTTTAAACTTTGTATTGTGAATTGAGCAAAGTTTACAGACAAGATTACCAGTTTAACATTCCACAAATCCTACAGTGATTACAATCCCCTCCCTGCAACAACAGTTATCCATCCCACTTCCTCCCTGGGGTTCCAGTTTCCATTCCACCCACCTTCCCATCCTGTCTCATCTTTGTCCTTTGGTCAGTGTTGCCCTTTTGATCTTGAGTGATTGACCATTCCATGGGATCATTGTTGTCCATGGACTTTTTGAACCCCCTTTGTGTGTATGAAAACACTGGTGATTTTAACGGTTTTTGAAGTGTACAATTGATTCAGTGATGTTAATGACACTCACCATGCTGTGCTACCATCAGCCCCATCATCTCCACAAACAGTCAATACACACTGAGCATTCAGCTTCCATTTCTTCCTCCTTCCAGCTCTGGTACCAAAACACCAAGCCTGTGAGTCAATTCAACTTCAAGAGACCTTATAGGATAGGATAGAGAATTGCCCCCCTCAGGGGTCCCAAAGCTGTCATGTTTACAAAAGCAGACTGCTGCGTCTTTCTCCCACACACTCTCTGCAGCCAAGTGCTGCAAGCACTGTGCCACCAGAGTTCTTCCTCTGGTCTGATAACAGACAAAAAGCTTTTGTCTCTAGACATTTGCCTACTCTAGATACTTCATATGTGCGTGTGCTATGTGCCGTGGCGTCGGTTCTGACCCATAACGACCCTGTACAGGGTCTCTGAGGCTGTAAATCTTTACGGGAGCAGAAAGCCTCATCTTTCTCCCGTGGAACAGCTGGTAGTTTCGAACTGCTGACCTTGTGGCTCGCAGCCCGATTCGTAACCACTATGCTACCAGAGCTCCTTGATACTTTATATAAGTGGGGTCATATGATATGTATCCTTTCAGGTCTGACTTGTTTACTTAGCAGAACATTGTCAAGATTCGTTCACATAGCATGTATCAGGACCTCAGTTATCTCTGTGGCTGAAAAATACTCCCTTGTATGGGTAGGTCCTGTTTTGGTCATCTGTCCACCTCTTTATGGATGTGGGTTATGTCTACTTGTTCTAATGGAAAAAGAACTCCAACTCCAAACATTTTATAGAGATCTCTTTATTAAACCTTAATCAGGACAAAGACAAATCATCTGGATGAGAGAGACAATTCGCATGAGCCCATAATGATGTCCAAAGGTTTCATGGCCATGTGGCTAATTGTAGAGCACAGAAATCAATGGGAATCTTCACAAAACCATGATTGGCAGCAGATCACTTCACCACTGTTGAGGGTGGGAATATAGAAACAGGGTGAGGGGTTGGGAGAGAAGGACCGTGATTGGAGGGCCAGGAGCCAATTGTGGAATAGATGATCCATTGTTCATAATGCAAATTCAGGCTGCAGCTGAAGAAACATTTAAAAAGTCCAGTAGAACCCAAATATGACCTTAAACATGTCCCACCTGAATTTAGAGACCATCTCAAGAATAGATTGATGCCAACGACCAAAGACCAGAAGCACTGTGCAATGACATCAAGAATATCGTACAGGAAACAAGAAGGGGTCATTAAATGATGCTGGAGATCACATGATAGAGTTTTGCAAGACCAATGACCTCTTCATTGAAAATACCTTTTTCAAACAATATAAAACACGACTATACACATGGACCTCACCAGATGGACTACACAGAAATCAAATTGACTACATCTGCGGAAAGGGACATTGGAAAAACTCCATATCATCAACCAAAACAAGGCCAGGAGGAGACTGTAGAACAGACCATCAACTGCTCATAATTGATGCAGCAGGATCAGGCTGAGACTGAAGAAAATTAAAACAAGTCCACCAGAGCCAAAGTGTGGCCTTGAACATATTCCATCTGAATTTAGAGACCATCTCAAGAACAGATTTGATGCCTTTGACACCAAAGACTGAAGACCAGAGAGCTGTGGGATGACACCAAGAACATCAGACAGAAAGAAAGCCAAAGGTCATTTAAAAGACAGGAAAGAAAGAAAAGACCAAAATTAATGAACTTGAAATGTGTTTTCCAGCATAGAGATGCTAAAGCAGATGGAAGAAATAAGGAAGTCAAAGAGCTGAACAAAAAATTTCAAAGGGCAGCTCTAGAAAACAAAGTCAAATATTATAATGAAATGTACAAGAACTTAGAGTTAGAAAACCAAAAGAGAACACACTCAATATTTCTCAAGCTGAAAGAACTGAAGACCAGAAGCCTTCAAGCCTGGGGTTGCAATATTGAAGGATTCCTTTGAGTCCTGGTATGGCACTATAGGATAAGCACTGGGCTACTAACCATAAGGCTGGTGGTTCAAACCCACCAGTCACTCCTTGGAAACCCTATAGAGGATCACTAAGAGTCGGAATTGACTCAACAGCATTTAGCAACACAACAATGGGCAAAATATTGAATGATGCAGGAAGCATCAAAAGAAGATGGAAGAAATACATAGAGTTACTGTATCAAAAATAACTGGTGTATGCACAACCATTTCAAGAGGTACCATATAAATCAAGGACCAATGGTATGGAAGGAAGAAAGTCAAGCTGCACCGAAGGCATTAGTGAAAAACAAGGCTCCAGGAATGGATGGAATACAAATAGAAAAGTTTCAACCAACTGATACAGCACTGGAGGTGCTCACTCATCTATGCCAAGAAATTTGGAAGACAGCTCACCGACCAACAGATTGGAAGATAGCCTTATTTGTGCCCATTCCAAAGAAAGGTTACCCAATGGAACACTGAGATCGTCTAACAATAGCAATATCAAATGCAAGTTAACTTTTGCTGGAGATAATTTAAAAAACAGTTGCAGCAATACATAGACAAGAAGTTGCCAGAAATTCAAGTCAGATTTAGAAGAGGACGTGGAACCAGGGATATTGCTGATGTCAGATGGATATCGACTAAAAGAGAATACCAGAAATATGTTTATTTGTACTTTACTGCTTATGGAAAGGTACTAGACTATGCGGATCTTAACAAACCATGGATAACTATGATGGAATGAATATTCTACAACACTTACTGTGCTCATGAGGAACCTGTACATGGACCAAGAGGTAGTTGTTCAAACAGACCAAGGGGAATTGGAGTGATTTAAAATCAGGAATGGTGTGCACCAGTGTTGTGTATTTTCACTATACTTATTCAATCTGTATGCTGAGAAAATAATCTGAGAAGCTGGGTTATATGTAGAAGAATATGGCATCAGGACTGGAAGAGGACTCATTGACAACCTACAATATGTAGATGACACAACCTTGTTTGCTGGAAGAGAAGATGATTTAAAATACTGATGAAGGTCAAAGACCACAACCTTCGGTATGAATTGCAAAACTCACAATTAGACCAATAAATGACTTCATGGTAATCAGAGAAATGATGAAGTTTTCAAAGACTTCCTTTTGCTTGGATCCACTGTCAACACTCATGGAAGCAGCAGTCAAGAAATCCAATGATGTATTGCATTAGGCAAATCTGCTGCAAAAGACCTCTTTAATTTGTTAATGAACAAAGATGTCAATTTGAGGACTACGATGCACCTGACTCAAACCATGGTGTATTTTCAATATTTCAATATATACTTGTGAAAATTGAACAATGAATAAGGAAGACAAGAGAAGAATCGATGTATCTGATTATGTTGATGATGAAGAAAATTGAAAGTACTGTGGACTACCAGAAAAACAAACAAATCTGTTTTGGAAGAAGTACTACCAGAATGCTTCTTAGAGGTGAGGATGGCATGTCTTTGGCATGTTGTCAGAAGGGATCAGACCCTGGCTTGCTAAAATGGAGGGGAGGGTCAGGAAAAAAAAAAGGAAGACCCTCAACAAGATGGAATGGCATAGTAGCAACAAGAGACTCAAACATAACAACACTTGTGAGGATTATGCAGGGTCAGGCAGTGTTTCGTTCTGTGTACATAGGGTTACTGTAAGTCCGAGTTGACTAAATGGCACCAAACAACAATAACTTGACTTAACTCTGCTTTACCCAATAGGATCTCCTTTTCCAGGGACTAACCTGTCCTGATAACATGTCCAAAATATGTAAGTGGAAGTCTCACCATCCTAGTTTCTGAGGAACATTCTGACTGTACTTCTTTCAAGACAGATTTATTTGTTCTTTTGGTCATCCATGGTATAGTCAGTATTCTTCATCAACACCATCATTCAAATGCATCGATTCTCTTCCAGTCTTCTTTAGTCATTGTCCAGCTTTCACATTTATATGAGGCCATTGAAAATACCAATATCAGGTGCACCTCAGTCCTCAAAGTGAAATCTTTGTTCCTTAATGTTTTTTAAAGATTTTTTTTTTTTGGCAGCAGATTTGTCCAATGCAACATGCCATTTGATTTCTTGATTGCTTATGGATCCAAGTAAAATGAAATCCTTGACAACTTCAATCTTTTCTTCATTTATAATGATGTTACTTACTGATCCAGTTGTGGGATTTTTGTTGTCTTTATATTGAGTTGTAATCCTTACTGAAGGCTGTTTTTTCTAATCTTCATCAGTAAGTGCTTCAAATCATCTTTGCCCTCTGCAGGCAAGGTTGCGTTATTTGCATATGCAGGTTGTTAATGAACCTTCCTGCAATCTTGATGTTGAGTTCTTCATATGGCCCCCCATCTCCGGTTATTTACTCAACATATAGGTTGAATAAGTATGGTGAAAGGATATAGCCCTGACACACAACTTTCCTGACTTTATCCCTTGTTCTGTTCGAGCAATTTCCTCTTGGTCTAGTACAGGTTCCTCATGAGCACAGTTAAGTGTTCTGGAATTCTCATTCTTCACAATGTTGTCCATAGTTCGTTATGATCCACACAGTCCAGTGCCTTTGCGGAGTCAATAAGACACAAGTAAATATCTTTATGGCATTCTCTCCTTTCAGCCAAGAAATATATATAAAACATTAGCAATGATATCCCACTTCTAGTTCCTCTTCTGAATCCAGTTTGAATTTCTGGCCACTTCCTGTCAATATGCTGCTGGAATCATTTTGAATTTTCTTCAGCAAAATTTTACTTGCATGTAATGTTGATGATATTTTCTAATGATTTCCACATTATGTGCAGTCATCTTTCTTTGGAATGGGCACAATTGTGGTAGCTTTTCTCCAAATTTCTTGCCATAGACTAGTGTGTGCTTGCAGAGCTTCATGTCGGTTGATATTCTGTCCATTTCTGGAGCCAATTTTTTTTTTTGCCAATGTCTTCAGTACAGCTTGAGCTTCTTCCTTCCATACCATTGTTCTTAATCATAATCTCCTGAAATGATTGAACATGGACCAGTTCTTTTTGGTATGTTGGTTCTGACCCATAGAGATCCTGTATGGGGTTTCCAAGGAGCGACAGGTGAACTCGAACCTTGCAGTTCAAACCGACTTTGCAGTCCAGCACATTAACACGCAGCGCCACACTAGGATTCCATTTTGCCCATAGATTTCTTAAGTATTTCAACCTGAGGCATGAATTTTTTCTTCAGTTCTTTCAACTTGAGAAATGTTGAGCATGTTTTTCCCTTTTGGTTTTGACTCCAGGTCTTTGCGCATTTCAGTTTAATACTTTGTTTTCTTAAGCTGTCCTTTATTATAATTTTCTGCTTTGTTTTTTAACTCATTTCTTCCATTCACTTTACCTACTCTATGTTTCAAGAGCAAGTTCCAGAGTCTCTTCTGACATCCACTTTGGTCTTTTCCTTTTTTCCTGTGTTTTCAGTGACCTCTTGCTGGCTAAGGAGAGTTGTAATCTACTTTCAAACACATGCTACCTAAGGGAAAAGGACTGCTGTGTTGCTTGTTAATAGTGAGAAACAGCTTAGACAGAGGCTGAATTTATGTCATCAAGACTTAAAGTGGAGTTAGGGCTCCTACTAGGGGTCTTGGTGTGGGGCTGCAATAGTGCACTTTGAATTGAAAGGCTGTCTGTTCAAACCTACCAGTTGCTCCTTGGAAACCCTACACAGGGTTGTTATAAGTCGGAACGGCACTCAACAACAACAACAGCAGCAGCGCTCCCACTAAGCCACAGTCTTCCACAAATCAAGTGTTAGAATTTGTGGCGCTGTGGGTTAATGCGTCAGACTGCAAAGCCGTTTGAACTGCAAAGTCAGTGGTTTAAGCTCACCAGCTGCTCCTCAGAAACCCTATACAGGTTTGCTATGGGTCGGAATCAACTCGATGGCACTTAACAACAACAACAATACACCTTTTGACTATTGTGAACAGTGCTGCTATGAACATTGATGTATTAAATAAACTTCTAATTGAAGTATAACACAAAGAGATAAAAATGCGCAAACCGTAAGTGAAGAACTGGATGAATTTTTACAAAGTGAACATCCTCGGCCAACCAGACTCCAGATCAAGAAAGACAAATTTCTAGCAGTCACCAGTCCCCCAAGGGCAGCCCCTGTTCTGACTTCTGATTTTATCATTTTGTCTTTTTTCTATTTTTCAAGAAACGGAATCATTCTTTTATGTCTGGCTTCTGTCGTGTTCGCATTGCATTTGTAAGATGTACCCATGTTGTTCTGGACAGTGACAGCTCATGGTCGTCAGTGCTGTACATTGTGACATGTCAAAGCTCCACAATTTACGTCCCCATTCTTCGAATTTAGCATTCTCTGGACTCCTTAGACCCAAAGGATCCCTGGTGGTTCAGTGGGTTAAGCTTTGGGCTGATACCTGAATGGTTGGCAGTTTGAACCCACAGGAGGAAGATGTGGCCATCTGCTTTCCTAAAGATTTATAGCCTTGGAAACTTGGAGTAGTTGTATGAGATGTAATTGCCTCAGAGGCAGGGAGTTTTGGGTTTTAGGTCAACAGGAAGAAATAAGGAGCCTCTTGGGCAAGGGTCCATTTCTAAGGTTTCCTTTACCTGGATGTGTAGCTCTCAGAACAGCAGTTTTTGGAGAGATGCTTTGGCTTCCTTCACCCCCTCCTCCCCGCTTAGTGCTGCTTTGCTCCTCAGCTCCATTGCCCAGTGTCTGCTCCAAGTTGGGACAACGTAAGTGGAGCCTTTGCTTATCAGGAGTCTCTGTCATGATGAAGACATAGATCATGTTGACTTAAGACTAGACAGTAGTCACAAGGCACCATAATGTAGCAATGGACAATGAGCGTGGTACAGGCTGAGAGACTGGGCAGGGATGTTGGCTCACAGGGAGTGCTTCTTGGAGGACATGTGTCAGGACAGGGCTTCGAAGGAACAGAGGAGCTGGGGTTGGCTAGCGAAGGAGGTGGGAGAAAGGCGGGAGGAGGTCCTTTTCACTGCTGTCAGGGACCAGGGAGTCGTGGGTGGTGCAGTCTGTAAGATGGGCTTGGTGGCATCAGCCCTCTTGGTGGTGTCCACCCTCAGTGTCCCCCTTCCACAGCACATGTACTGGACGATGCTGCAGCAGCTCACCCATCACTCTGTGAATGGCTGCAACCTCCGGCCTGGGGATCTCTTGGCTTCTGGAACCATCAGTGGGCCGGTGAGTACTAGAGGACCTTGTGGTCGCCCACATACAGCATCCTTTCTCCCCTCATGGCACACACAGCCGTCAGCTTGACCTAGAGAAGAGATCCTAGCACTAGGTCTTGTACCACCCATTTCCTATCGCTTCATCCACCTCTTGTGCGGAAGGGACTTCTTTTCCAAATTCAGACCTGAAGAGACAGGCAGACAAGTGACAGGCTCCTGCCCCCATCTAAATAGAGCAGAGTCATCACGGCATATGGGGAAGAGTCAGGACACTGGGATTGTGTGGGTGTCACCTTCTCACACTGCACCCTGCCAGGACCAAATGCTCTCCCAACCCCATCGTGACTCCTTCCTTCCTCCGTGCCATTGTGAGCCAGTGGTGGGATCACTGAACCTCAAGAGAGGATGGCCATGGAATGGTGTGTGTGTCAGGCATTAGATAGATAGCACATTTTTTCCCAATTAGGGGATGTTACACACAGCAGTCTTATGGGAAGATGAAGCCTCAGAGTGGGGTGGCGGGGCTGAAAGAGCTGGACTCATAGTCGGGGGTTCCCTGAGTCTGGAACAAAGCGATGTCTTCAGTGAGAGGAAGCCCCCATCCCTGGATTCCTTGTCCTTGCTAAGGGCTATCCAAACAGAGATGTGAATAGATGTGGTCCAAGATGTGAATCAATATGACCCTCGCTTCCTTTTCCCATTACAAAGGAGCCAGAAAGCTTTGGTTCCATGCTGGAGCTGTCTTGGAGGGGGACGAAAGCCATCGAGCTGGGAAACGGGCAGACCAGGAAGTTTCTGCTGGACGGGGATGAAGTCATCATCACAGGTGGGGGCTGCCGGGCCCTGAGGGGTCCTGTCTCTCCTTGCTCACAGGCACTCCCATCTGTCCAGAAGGCCATCTGCCCCTCTGACTTCAATCTGAGATGCTGGCATTCCCAGATTCTGCATCTGCTGGTTTTGTCCTTCCTAGGGCTTTTCCGATTGGGTACTTCAGATCTGAGTCTCCTGTGAAAACCTAACATTCTTAGAGAAACACCAAAAACTAGTGCAACAGGATACATTCACTATGAGAAGCTTTGAATCCAGCAGTGTCAATGAGAACACAAGAGAGAAGTGGGTTATACCAGTGTAGGGCATTATTATGTTAATTTCCAGGAAACAGCATCAGAACTGGGCTCCACTCAGACCCTGGGGATCATGCTCCTCAAAACTGGCAGGAACACTTGGCTCTGCTTTCTGTCCCTCTCTGATGTCCAAATCTGTCTTTCTCTCCTTGTGAGCATCTTTCAGACCCATTTGCTCTACAGATTCCTCATCCCTGCACCTCCAGTTTGCCCTGGGCTCTGGCATGTCCTGGCTGTAACTGAACCACATCTCTACAGCTCTCTCCAGAGTCAGCTCCAATACTGGTCCACTGATGTGTCTCAATCTCTTGGTTCCTGTTCCTGAAAAAAGAATCTGACTGGCTCTGCATCAGTTCTGTCTGGTCCAATCAGCTGCTTCCAAAGGCTATGTGTCAAACCACCCTCTTTCCCCAATCATGTTATTGTTGTTGGTTCCGATCCATAGTGACCCTGTATAGGGTTCCCAAGGGGTGGCTGGTGAGCTTGAACCGCCGACCTTGTGGTTCAAATTGACTTGGTGGTGGTGGTGGTGGTGGTGTGCCATGGAGTTGGTTCCGACTCATAGTGACTCTGTATAGGGTTTCCGAGGCTGTAAATCTTTATGAGAGCAAAAAGCCTCATCTTTCTCCCATGGGATGACTGGTAGTTTCGAACTGCTGACCTTGGGACTAGCAGCCTGACTCATAACCACTACTCTGTAGTCCAGCTCATTAACCCCCAAGGTCACACCAGGACTCCCCCACCCTGTTCACAGAAGGAAAGCTGCAGAGTATCAGCTGAACAAGCACGAGCTGACAGGCGATAGCCCCATCCCCTGGCTGGGGTTCAGTCTTCTTAGAAGGCACCATTGCTTGTCTCCCACCTAAACCTCCTACTTGCCATCCTAGCAGAATACGTACGAGGTAGTTAGTTTTAAATTGGTTCCCTAAGACTCCTTGGTGTTGGAAGAAGTACAGCCAGAATGCTCCTTGGAAACCAGGATGGCCAGATTTCATCTCTCATACTTCAGATATATTATCAGGAGGGACCAGTTCCTGGAGAAGGACATCATGCTTGGTAAAGTGGAGGGTCAGAGAAAAAGAGGCAGACGCCCAACTAGATAGATTGACACGGTGGCAGCAGCAATGGCATCAAACAGCAATGATTATGACATGGACGGAGGACCAGGCAGTGCTTTATTCTGTTGTGTATAAAGTTGCTATGAGTCGATACCAACTTGATAACACCCAACAACAACAAAAGACTCTTGAGGGAAGTGGTGCTTTAGTGGCAGGATTCTCACCTTCCTGTGTTTGAGTCCTGGCCAATACGTCTTATAAGCAGCCCATCCATCCATCAATGGAAACTTTTGTGTTACTATGATGCTGAATAGAATTCAGTGGAGCTACCAGACAGAGACAAACTAGAGAGAGTCCTGATGATCTACTCCAAAAAATCAGCCAATGAACATCCTATGGGTCACAACAATCCAACTTTAAACCAACCATGGGGTTGAAGCAGGACCACACAATGTTGTGTTCATCGTACAGAGGGTCACCAAGAGTTGGGGACCAACGGGACTACAGGTAATGACAATAATAAGATCCATTTGGATGAGTGAGAGGCTGACTAACCCTGAATCAACCATATAATCTATCATAACGGGATAAACTTAGCAGAAATCAGACATCTGCTACCCAGTATGAAGTCTTCTCTGATGCATAGACTGCTGAATTAAAATGTACTTGTTCTTTCAAGCCTTATTTCTTCTACCAAGGGACGAAAACATAGACGTGTCTCAGAAGAAAGACCTGGTGATCTTCCAAAAGCTCACAGCCCTGAAAACCGTAGGGAGCAGTTCTACCGTGCACAGAAGGGCTTGCCATGAGTCAATGGCAATCAAGAATAGTAAGAAAGATATTCTACTGAGGAAAATCTCCAATGTGCAGACTGTAGATTCCTTTTTATTTTTGTAACTTAACCAAGGTTTTATTAATGGATGTTTGCAGCTGTTTTTGCTCATTTTGAGTTGTGCCCCATCAGTAAAGGTCCTGAAAGCTTTGTTCCACTCATGTCGTTGTGGTCAACTCTATTTTGAAGGGTAACTCGTCCTCAGTTGTATTTTGAGTGTCTTCCAACCTGAGGGGCTCATCTTCTGGCACTCTATCTGACAATGCTTTGCAGCTATTCATAACGTTTTCATTTTCTGGCACTGTGTCTATTAATGTTCAGCTGCTATTCATAAGCTTTCAGTGGTGAACCATTCAGAAGTGACTCACACCTCCTTCTTCCTAGTCTGTTTTAGTCTGGAGGGTCCACCATGGGTGCCCCTGCTGGTTTTTATAACACCGATGGCATAGCTTCACACAAGACACCACGGTATGACAAACTGACAGATGCGAGATGGACAATCATATGTTTTACTCTGCCAGGAATGTCAAATTGAAGAGGAATGGTGCCACATTTATCATCAAAAAGAGCATTTCAAGATCTATCTTGAAATACAATGCTGTGTGTGATCGGATAATTTGCACACACCTACAAGGAACACCAGTTAATACCACTATTATTTAAATTTACAAAACAAGTGATGATGAAATTAAAATATTCTACCGCGGAAACCCTGTACAGGGTCTCTATGAGCCAGAATCGACTCCACAGCACATCACCACCATCACCAACACCACCGCCACCAACTTCTTCAGTGTGAAATTGATCAAATGTGCAATCAAGATGCATTGAAAATTACTGGTGATTGAAATGCAAAAGTTGGAAACAAAGAGGAAGGATCAGTAGTTGGAAAATATGGTCTTGGTGGTAGAAATAATGCTGGAGATTGCATGATAGAATTTTATAAGACCAACAACTTATTCATTGCAAATACCATTTTTACACAACATAAGAGGTGACGACACAACTAGACCTATCAGATGGAATGCACGTGAATGAAATTGACTACATCTGTGGGAAGAGTCAATGAAGAAGCTCGATATCAACCCAAACAAGGCAGGGGCAACTATGGAACAGACCATCAATTGCTTATATGCAATTTCAGGTTGAAGCTGAATAAAATTAAAACAAGTCCATGTGAGCCAAAATACTACTTTGGATATTGAATTTAGAGACCATCTTAAGAACAGAGTTGATACATTAGACACTAATGACTGAGAACAAGGAGAGTCGTGGGATGACATCAAGAACATCAGACTTGAAGAAAGCAAAATATTATGAAAAAGACAAGGCACCATGGACAAGGTCATAGCCATGGAGGGCTAGAGCTGAGAGTGAAGCATCCAGCTGATATGAAGTGAGAGGAGAGGCTCAAGAACACCCAGACTTGCAGATAGTACCCATTTGACCTAGCCTCAATGGCTTGATAATCAGCACTCGACTAGAGGAAGATTAAAAAAAAACAAACAAAAAACAATTTTTTAAAAATAAATGTTTTATTGTGAATTATGTGATACTTTACATGGGAGCATATTAGTTCAAAAACCAATTTTTGATAAAGGAAATGAGGGTAAGTTGCTGCAATTTGATGAAGCTGACCTATGCTCATGGAGGTAGTAATTCTAAATACCAACAGAGAGGGAAGGAGTCTTCACATCAAATATCTGCACACAGGGTACATAGGGATGGGCAACTTAGATGTTGTTGTTGTTGTTAAGTGCCATTGAGTCGGTTCCAACACATAGCAACCCTGAACAGGGTTTCCGAGGTTGTAAATCTTTACGGGAGCAGAAAGCCTCATCTTTCTCCCGCAGAGCAGCTGGTAGTTTCGAACTGCTGACCTTGCGGTTC